TGCCAATCTTGTAGAAAGGTGCAAAGCAGAGCCCGAAACGAGTGACAGCCAGAGCTAATTGATCCAGTGCCGCTTGGCACGTCTGTGAGCTGTTACAAATGACGACAATGTCATCGGTATACTCCAAGTCAAGAAGTCGGTCAACTGGGAGCAGCTGCATACCTTCTAAGTCGGGTTCAGCGAACGCCGTTGCCATGACTTCATCAAAGGCGACAACAAGCAAACTTGTTTCACACCGCTGGAGATATTGAAGGGCGGCGAAAATTTTCCACAAACCTTCATTCTGTCCGAAATATGAGCGTACAGCGCTCTTATGATATTTACGTATACAGGGGGCACACAGTTCCGTAGTAGACAGTCCCAAAGGGCACATTAATCAACCGAAGAGAAAGCCACTTTGATGTTTAGGAACACGACTACAGCAGGCCACCAACAAACATAGCGGTGCTAAAAAAATTGAGTAATATGAAGATGTGGTCAATGCAGGCTCGATTTCGACGAAATCGGGCCTAATTCTTGCGCAGCTGATCTACGCGGGTGCCAGTCAGTCTAAGGAAGAAGACAGAGGCAATTGAGATCAGACTGATTCCCACGGGACTGCTGCGTTCCAAACGGGAGCCTCACATGAAAATTGGAAACATAACTTGTTGGGATAGTCACCTGCTCCCATAAATTCACTAGTAAGTCATGTAAATCGTTCAAAGTATAGTGACCCGGAATTTGAAGTGGGCTTGGTGAAGTCCATCTGCTACGGCGGACAAGTTCAATTTCAGCAGTCTGTATCTCACGTTCGATTTCGGCACGTGAGAGTGGATCCAAGGGGACGGCCAAGAGAGTAGGGTGCTCATTGGCCAAGGGAGAATTTGGCAATTCTGAGTGATTAAATCGCTCCTCATAGTTTTCGGCCCAACGCTCCAGGCGCTTTGACAAGCTGATGATCGGCTGCGCACTCTCCTTACATATAGTCAAGCTAACAACAGGTCTCCTGCTAGCCGCTTCTCGTATCAGACGGAATAACTTCCGATGGTTACCAACAGCAGCGGCTGTCCAACTCTGTGCACGAGACCACCACACTCCACGGCTAGCACGCAGTTTCGCCCTGAGATCTTTAAGAGTCTCATTGTATTCGCTTCCAGCCGGAACACGTCGGTGATCATCCATAAGTTCCAGAGCCTGCGTAGGGACCCAATGTCCAGTTTGGCGATTTGATCTGCCATATGAAGACATGCCTGCTAACAATAACGTCCGGCGGATATGCGACCAGTGATCTTCAACTATGTTCAGTGGGCGTTTACACAGCTAGGAAACCAGCGTACTTGGATACGCACTCAGAACACCTGGCTTCGTCAGTTAGCTAGTGTCTATGCGCTCACAGCGACGTTGCGGACGTCCGTCGAAACGCAAACAAGCGCGTGAGCAGAGTCCACGCTTGTGTTCCAAATCGAGCGACAGTTTTGAACAAAGCCTCTCCAGCGGTAACTGATCGCGATGTGATCGATTGGCTTCCACGGTTAGTGGGCGCCGTGTGGGTGCTGGGTGGGAAGTTAGTGCTAGCGAGAAATAGACGTGCATTCTTACACAGGTGTAGCAACCGCCCACCGTTATCATCACGGGAGCTTACACTGTGTTGGCCGCCCAGATTCAGCTTATCAGTGGACAGTTTTCCAACTTGGGAGTTCAGATCATCAGCAAGCGCCAGAGTACCCGTACTTTTATGGTAACTGAGGAACGTGTTCAATTGGTGACAGAATTCATATGTCAACGAGTCAGCGCTACATTTTGTAGGGGCTTAGGTTGCAATGACAAACAGAGACCGTTTGTCTACGCGCGACTTCAAGGCCAAGAACGAGCCAGCCAATCTGACAGCGCACATCCGACTGTTCATTGGGATCCAATCGATCAAAGCAGATTCAGTCAGGGGCTAAGAGCAATGCCCAAACCGGCTTGACCGGCATTTGTAGCTGCGTCATCTCTGGACAAGCGCAATGAGAAAGTGCCGCCAGTGTCGCACGTTGCGGATTGCAGGGTAATAACAGGAATCCAATCCTTCAGGCGAGTTTCTGATAAGCAGCAGATGTCGATCGATAGGGTCTCCAGTGTTCGGGCAAGAGCTGTCTGTTGGCCAATTGGCAACAAAATGCGCACATTGAGGCATACCAGTCTCAGGGAGGATCGAGGAATCCAGATAGTAGCAGATGAACCGAGGTCCATTTGGCTGGACATGGACTTGTCGACTGGATCGGAACGACGTCCTGCGATTGCGTGAGTTGAAACTAGAGAATAAACGATTACTGAACCAAAATGGGGAGCGCCAAGAATTGGGGCGTTGAAAACAGGTGGATGAAAGCGAAGTTGGAACGGGACGATAAGGATGAAAAAGCGCAAAAAGGGGGATAGGAAAGCGGGAAGACCTGAGCATTAGCATCCAAACCCCTATCCACGTTGCTCAATGCAGCAGATAAGGTGCCGCTTAAAACTGAGGAAAGATTCATGGCCAGAATACTGTCAGGTTTCCCAAGTTTAGACAGGAGAATGATTAGGGGAACCAACCGCCTCCTACGCTGACCCTTGATGGGGATCAGCTAGAAGTCGTTCAAAAATTCAACTACCTGGGAAGTTGTATCAGCGCCCGTGGGATTGAAGATGAGATCACGAACCGTATAGCAAAAGCTCGGGGCGCTTTTGCTAACCTTCGCCACTTATGGCGTCGGCGCGACATCACCCTTGCCCTGAAGGGTAGTGTGTACAATGCAGCGGTACGTTCGACCCTACGGTACGGTTGTGAAACCTGGCCGCTTAAAGCAGCGGACCTGAAAAGGCTAGTTACGTTCGACCACCGGTGCCTTCGTAATTTAGCTCACATCTGGTGACAACACCGCGTGAGCAACGAGCGTGTTCGACGCCTTGTTTACGGCACAGGAAAAGGAAATGAACCGCTCAGCACCGTTATTTCACGCATCAGGCTCCGATGGCTCGGCCACGTGTTACGCATGTCAGCCGACCGACTCCCGCGACGTGCGTTGTTTGCGCGCCGGGAGTGTGGATGGAAGAAGAGGAGGGGTGGCCAAGCGATGACTTGGTCGAGAGGAATGAAGGCCGTCACTTCGGAGCTGGCCTCGGTTGGAGCGTCTCGGCTCCCTGGTTGGGGTCCGAAAGACGATGAACACGTTTGGTTGGACACACTTGCTGATATGGCTAGGAGCCGACCCCAGTGGCGTTCGTGGTGTGAGTTTCTTTGTCCCACCCCATTCCTCTTATCGTCCCCCTCCAACCACAATCTCATTATTTAAGTTTATATAATTCTGCATAGTAATTTTTTTGATGCACAGCAGCCGGCTGGTAGCTTACCGGAACGATGCCCATCCGTTACCGGTAGCTCAGCCAGCTTGCACCAGTTGTTTTCTTTTCCTATGTATTGCGGCACAGTAGCTGAGGTGTTCCCCACCTCCAGCTAACGATATGATGACCAACCAAAGCCTTTGGTTCAAAAACCTCACTGCAAGGCAGCGGGGTTATGGCACTGGGCTACTGAGAGTCCGTCACTTTAACCCTCAACCTGGAGGGCGAAGAAACTGAGTTTGTCAGGCATTTAACCATTAACCAATCTGGTATGAGTGGCACTGACGGTGCAAAAGCACCACCCAGCATAGTCCAACGGATCTCTGAGGAAGGTAAGCCATCGCAACATGTTAAGGTCCAGCTTTTTGGAGGAGACTGAATCGAGTGAGGATATAGTTCCAGATGTTGGCTTTCCACAGGTAGAGACGAGCATTCTGGACCGCCGCTCCTTGGAAGACTGCTGTGAGCCCAATGCACTGAAGTGAGACGGCCCAGGCGTACCTCCCACAGTGGAGGGAAGTGGGGTAAGGCGATCCCGAGCAAAATGCATTGTCTTAACCTTTGGAAAATCCGAAATTCTTTTCGGCGAGAAGTATCTCGGATAAATCAAACAGTCGGCATCCTACGGCCCATGCATTTGTCTACAATGCTGCCTACACAGGTTCAGTGCTCCAGACTCCGGAAACCTAGTATTAAACACCTGTGCCATGTGTTACCGATGATTTTTTGTTCTCGCAGAATGGTTGACGTTGCCTGCATTGTTGTCTGTTGTCTCACAACCACTGACCGTTGTCTAGACTCACTGAGCTAGTTATCCCGCATTTTTGTTGATTAGCCACTCATACTGCGCGTGTGCCCTTCCTCGAGCCGCTCGTGCGCTCTTTCTGATCTGTGGTCTTGATTGTTTAGCCAATCATCGCCTCGCAACATAGCTGGCCCACATGTCACTGACGTTCATTTTGTTGGATCCCTGTGTGCGGTCTCGTGACCCGCCTCTATTGGACTTGAACCAGACCCACTTTGCTTGTCTCAGGAATTGCCTCTACTACTAAGTTCTAAGGACATTATTGAGGTCGGTCTTTCATTTGGATATCTGTTTGTTTAATAGCATGTAACCACTACCGCCATTGCTTTTCTAATTTCTGATCATAGATCCGTTTCAGGTTATGTGGATTCGTTTCCGGCGGTCTGCGCTCAGTTTCGGCACTGACTCGTAGATCCCGGTGCCCTACGTGTACCTTAAAATGTTTTGCCGCTTACACACAGTGGCAGATGAGAGGGCGTGGTCAAAAAGCAGAGGTACCAAGATACGTGAACCTAATGAGTGTACAATTCTGCATGAAGTGGACATGAAGCGGTGTAGTGTAAAACGTACACATGATGATCAGATGAAGGCAGCGAGTGCCCGTTCGAATACTGTCTTGGTGAGACAGTCGGGATTTGAGGCAAGTAGAAAACCAATGATTCGGTCGTAAACCTGATAGCTGTGTAGCTGTAAGAGAGTTCGACTTGGGTTCACCAAGAATACAAAACGTTGCGACAGAAGGGCGTGATTACATGCAATAACGAACAGATAAAGCACAAGCAGTGAGGGCGAAAAGAAGTTAAAGTATGAATGGTAAATACTGACGTAGTACCGATGAGCAGACGGAGGAACGAACCTGTGTGACGGGTTTCAGAGTGTAATACCGAGAATTCTCCGGGATGGAGATGACCCGCTGCTGGGCACGCAAAACGCGAGCCGGGTTGTTGAGCATAACGAAACTGGGTTCCTGTTGGAGTGAAAAGTGGACGAAAAATGGCCGGGAGATGAGAGACTTCAAGATAGAAAAGGAGTTAAAACAAGTGGGATAAGATAGAATTACTCAACGTACTCATAAGTAGAAGAGCTGACCGAGTGCGCCACCCTTAATGGTAAGCCAAATGGATGGTTCACTAGTAGACAACCCACAAAATAATTATGTCAAAAAGTGCGCAACATGACTAACCTTTTCCTCCTTTTCGTCAGGTTTCTCTTCCTTCGTTACCTCGGGAGGGACAGTGTCACTGAAAGTGTCCAAACGTGTGGTGGTAAAAGGATGCGAAAATCAAGCGTAGTCGATGTCATGGAAAAACGAACCAAAGCAGAGGAGGCTAGTGATAACAAACAAGAACACCCACAGAGGTGGGTAAATCACACTACTTCTACTACCAAGCATAAGTAACTAGAACACAGCGTGATTGGAAGAGGAAAGAAACCATTACTTCACTCCAGTGCACGAAGTTAGTCGTTGTATGCATATGGGAATAAGGTCAGATGGAATAAAAGATGGTTTAGAATGTGACCTAACAAGTAAAGCCTCATAAGGCGACAAAGCACCATTGAGTGGTATAATGGTATCAGCACTCGGACACCAGTACGGATGCCTTGCCAACCACAGTCAACCGTGAACGGGCGGAGATAGTGAAGGGAAGCCCAAACTCAAGCAGCAACAGCAGCAGTGGCTGGGACTAGAACTCGGGATGCAAGTAAAACGCATGGGCCACTGCATCACAAATTTCGTGCGGCACGTAGACCAGACATCAGAAAGCAAATCAAATGATAACGGCTAACTGCGCGTCCTACAGCGTACCCTGTAACGGATCAGTTACTCAGTGCTGAGCTGTGTACCAAAGTGCATTTAGTACAGCAAACAAGGTTCAAGGAGCCACAATGATAACAGTGGAGGACGATACGAAAGATAAGCAAAAAATAATGCACAGTGGACAAAATAACTGTTGTCCTCTGATTGCAAAATACAGCTAAAAGCCGGGTAGCGAAAACGAAAACGCAATAGTCATCGTAACTATGTCAAGAATAATAACACAAATTATAGACACTCGACACCGAGATCATTGTACCATGTATTCGGGAAACGCACACAACACACATGAAGATAGGGGGGTGAGGGTCATGTGGAACGCGGCACCTAGTCAGTGTTTGAGTGCAACACATACCACTGCTGTATCAAATAGACTGCTGAAAAACAAATGCTGGATCTGAACAAAACTCACACGGTGGTCCCCTAAGGTATGAGCAAGTGCACAAGCACAGGTGATTAAAGAATGCCAGGCAATTGACATGCAAGCTGTCACCGTCCTTCAATATCTTCAGCGGTGTGACACAGGACTGCTCGCTGTCACCGGTATTAGTGAACTTTGCGTTTACTGGGCAAATCGAAGGTGCGGAGCTATTCTAAAGTGATCGATTTCTTGACCCAGAGTAGGACGACACAATTGCTCTCATCAGTAACAGCTCACGAATGTACTAAGCAGCACTGGACTAATTAGTACTAATTGTTAACCGCCTTGGGTTGTGCTTTGCACTTCCCAAGCGCAAAGTTTCCACTCCTGCACTGACTGTTAGCGCGGATCAGCTAGGAAGTCGTTCAGAAATAAAATATCTGGGCACCTGTATCAGAGCCCTTGGGGTAGATGAGACCGTGAAGCGTATAGCAAAAGGTGGTTTTGGAAATCTGCACAACTTACGGCATCGGCACGAGATAACTCATGTCATAAAGGCTAGAATCTACAATGCAGCTGTAGCTTCAGCACCACTGTAATGTGTAGTCTGGTCCATCAGATCGAGAGACGTAAAGTGGCTAGTTACATTCGGCCATCGCTGCCTTCGCAGTTTAGCTCATGTCAGGCGAGAACATCGCATAAGCAATGAGTGTGTTCGGCGTCTCGAATTTGGTGCCGGAAGAGCGAGTGAACCGTTCAGCACCGTTATATCACCAAGCGCCAAGCCAGCACACCGACTCACGCGAAGTGTACCGCTTGCGTAACCGGAGTATGAATGGAAGAAGACGAGCGAAGATAAACCGAGAATGTGGTCAAGAGAATTGAAAGACCCTTCTGTAGGTTTCCTACTATCGTCTTGTTGGTTTGTATTGTATCACAATAGCTGAGTTTATTCGCACCTCTAGTCAACGTATAATGATGGTGATGATGAGTCACGTAAAGGCTCGGTTCTTCCAATGATTACACCGCAGCAACATGCAGTCAAAAACCGATCAACAGGTCGATAGCTCGTCAAGCTTATATGTGGTTGAGGAGCCAAATAGGTTATACTGATGCGCGCAGAAATTGTCGCGACGACTCTATCACCAGATAAAATACAGTCAACTCGAACGAAGGGCCGGTAAACCATTCGAAGTGGCTGTTCGGGAACAGGAAATCCGGAGCGAAGCAGATGTACGGTATCGTAGTTGCTATGTAGAACCAGGAGTGAAGAGACTATATGGGACTAACAGTTGGACTCTGACTGAAGCGAAGGAAAAAAGGCGCCAGAATTCGGTGACTATGGACAAAATAATGGCGTTAATTACTGTGAAGTAACCAGCTAGTAAGACTAACCGCGACAGCAATCCAGATGGAAAGATAAGGTGTAACGCATATCAGTCGGAATGTCGCGTCAAGTGTGATATAGCTCACAAGTAGAGAGGTCAATGGAGACACCATCTGATACCAGCTCTAGGGACAAGGTTTGGCTATTTTTAGTTTGTAGGAAGGTGGGGTAGACCCTGTTTTAACTTTAGAACATCGCGATGACAAGAAAGGATGTGAAAACAAGTCATATGAGTCTAATCACTGAGTGTACACCAAACTGCGTCTCCAGAGATGGGGCGCCAAACACACGCTTTGAGCAAACAAAAACAGCATGCCATTAGGACGATCGGTAAAAACATGGACCCACGGAGCGCCGACGAGGGGGAAATAAGTAAACGGGCAAGGGATCCACATCTAATGAGGCAGACGCATTGGGACAAGACGTGTGCTTGTGAGTAAACAATGAAGATATGCGATGGGGAATGTGGATAAGGACGACTCATAGAACCTGGTCGGAAGCCTAGAATAAGCATTGAGCATGAAAAGGTCTCATAAACTGGATCAAGATGTACGATACACCAAGAGGAAACCACAAGGCACGACGTACACGTCCATTTTCTCCTCTTTTGGTGCCTCTTTGGACTTCTGTTGCTGCTCTTTGTGTTTACGATCGGCTTCCTTTTTACGTTGCTTTGCTGTGATACTCAGGATGGCGGTTTCCACCTTCTCTCGTTTCTTCTCCTTCTCAGGCTCTAAAATGTGGCGGGAGAGAAAACAATACAGCGAGAGAGGAACAAAGAGAGGCATAGTGTCAACCATAGTCTGCCGATGAACTTACGCAAAGGTTGCGGATAAGCAAAAGTGGATGGTTTTGCGTTCGAACGGAACTGCATTTTCGGCATTTTCAAGTCTTTATTCAATGCGATCAGAGTGGTGGGTGTCAAGGCTAGGCTGATGAAATTTGTGAGAGGATACCAAAACCAGAAATTCTGGAACAGTAGCAAGCCCACAGCAGCAGCCATATTGTCGTTGCCTGCAAAACGAACACGTAAAATCGAATTGAGTAAACGAGAGGAGTTTTGAGAAGTCAATAGCGTAAGTAAAAATAGCATAATGGTATTGAGTAGAAAATAGGACGAAGTGCTAGAATAGTGAGAAGAAGGGTAGAACTGACATCCAAAGATAAGAGTGGGTTGAACAATGATGATTAACTGTATCGGCCATCAAGCAAAAAATGAGCCATATTTGACAATGATGCATCAAAAGTAAGATGGTAGTCAACATGATGAAGGATGCAACGGTTATGGTGAACCATAAACATTGGGATATGATGGGAGAAATAAAACCTGAAAGACAGAAAACAAATGGTGAGGTACAGAGAGTACAGAGGGACAAATGGCGACAAAGAGCGTAAATCGCGACTTTAGGTCAACAACATTATGATTAATACTAAAAACAAACAATCGCGCAAATGTGTTGGCAGTGCTGTAAGTGTTCCTTAAGCGAGTAGACAAATTGGTTCAGCGGATCTATGAGCGCAGTCTTCAGTAAAATATATAAAACAGGGGAAATGACCAAAAAAAATGAACTGAGAGGAAAAGGGAACGAATCCGAAGCGAGTAGGGCCATAGGGGGATGAGCATCGATATATTGAAGCAGATGAGCTTAACACCCTTAGAATTGAAATATGTGGAAGAGAATTTGCATATCGAAACAGTTATCAAAAACTAATCGTACCGTACCGTTCGGCTCCCATATAATCCCCTTCGTCATCAGGACAGTGGTGAGAATCCCAAAATAAAAAACGTAACGAAGTTTGAGGAATAAGCAGTAAAACAGGAGGTCTGAAGAGCGCTCCAACAGAACATACATAAAATGTGGCTGCATCATCAGTTAGAGCGCCAGTGATCGAACTATCCGAAACTTATTGCAATGGAGATCTCGGTTCACACTGAGATTGGGTGTCGCAATGCATTCATATAACGAGTACATCAAAATGACTCTCCAATCACATATATGAGCTGTTTGAAAAGGAAAACAGCAATCGTTCCAAACTTCGAGGAAAACAAAGTTCGAACGAAGCTAGTGAAAGAGAGAATCCGTTGCGATGACCCTGACTGTGCGTTCAAAAAGTACGCTCACCTGTTCTTGTCTGAAGAGAAATTGTCATGTTGCAGCCACCGGCATCGAGAATTCCGCAGGCTAATATGGCCCCAAACTTCGCCAACAAATCCTCATGTCGATCGGTGATAATTTTCAAGCATTTTTCGCGGAATTCCACCGACTGAGAGCAAAAATGGACAAGGCGAAATATGGTGAGTGATTAACAGATAAGAGAAATGAAACCCGGAATGTGGTGAATATAGAAATAAGTTGTACCAGATATTCGAAGAAGGATAATCTTCCATATTACTTCGCCTATAGGGTGGCAATGGTAATGCTTCAGTAGCACTGCGCAGGAATGCATTCACACACACACACACACACACACACACACATGTCTGAGCTAACATCGAAGTGCATTGCCATATGTGAAGACGTAGCGACGACAGTCAAGTCTCTAACAAATCTTACGTTATTTTTCCTTTCCACGTGGAGGAAACATAAAGAACCGTGAACATACCGCCTACCTTGGGACATGTGACTCCATTTTGCAGCATTAAAACCATTGCGGTAGCAACCAGGGCACCTTGACGCACAAACGGTACAGTGCCTTCGTATAGAGTCTCCAGCAAACCCACAGCTTCTTTGAGAGCGGTACCTGCACATGCCACCCCCATTGCCATGGCTGCCCCAAAGCGAAGGTGCGGATGATAGGATTCGGTGAGAAGTGAGACCAGAGCAGGCACTTGGTCTGGCGTTCTGTGAGAAATAAAACAATCGCACAGACGTGGATATGAGAGGACTTTTAGCCAAAGGAAACAGAAATAGGTTACAGAACAATATGAACACAAGATAAAAATCCACGCACAATAATATGCCTCGACGGGGAGTCGAACCCCGGTCCACGAATTTCCGTTCCGCTGCTCTACCACCTGAGCTACCGAGGGCTGACGATTAGGTGCGCAAAGTTTAACACATGTCTGCGTGAATTTTAATCGTGGCTTCTACTTTCTTCGAACTTTACACTACTCACAAACATCCACCACAAGAAAATAAAGAAAAATGACGGCACGTATTCCGCCAAAGCATGAAACAGAGGGCTAAATCGCGACAAAGAGCGTAAATCGCGACTTTAGACAAACAACAATAACAACGGCAGTACACCAGCCAGTTAAACCGCTGCCATACAACCACGATGACCTAAGGAATAAAGAATAATAAGAGGGAGAGAAGAGGGACTTACGTGAAAACCTTAATGCCCTAAGCAAACATTCAGGGTCAAAGCGCCTACACCTTATGTTAACATACCGCCACAAACAGCTGGCTATCGCGCAAAGAAAAGGCGGCATTGGTGAGACAGCTTCCTTGCAGCTTTCAATGCCCCGCGTCATATTCAGCCATTACCCCGTTGATAACTCAGCACCAAACACAACTTAAACAGGCAATCCGATTAGGAGACAGCAGCAATCGAGCCAGTGGTGTCGGTTGCGAACCATGTCCTGTAAAGTCTCAAACCAAACACAAGGGGAGTCACGTGGACTCCAGCGCGGAAGGTGAGACGGACCGACGGCACCCAGTTTGGTCGTCAGTGACTTCATTTCCCATTGCCAAGTCAACTTCTGTCCATCTCGACCCTTACGCCACTCTACATTTGGCAGACAAATCAAGGCCCTCCTAGGTAAGCGATGACCAGGCATACCTAGTACGTGCTCAAGCCAACCCAACTTATTCAGCGCCATCTGTTGTTCTAAGGAACTAGCAATCTCATCACTGCCTAGTACTTGCCTACGCACATTATTGTTGCGGACACGCTGGGGCGACCCGACGCTAGCAATGCTCCGCAGACAACGGTGTTTGAAGACTTGAAGACTCCTCAGATCTTCAGACTGAAGGGGCCAGGGAGTGTAGCAACACAGCGCGTGATCTGTATTGCATAGATCGGGGCACGATAGGTGACGCTAAAAGTGTAAGAAGCGATTTTTCTTTAACTAGCTGTGTTGAGAAACCTCGCTTGTCTGACAGGACTATCAGAGGAGTCATACGTTAGTTCGCCAGGTGGTGCTTAGCCAGGGAACTGTGGTGACGTATTGAATCATCGGATGAACTTGAAGTACTTGAGTTCATCGGACAGCGTTTTCGCGTGCGTGCTGATCGGTACTTTGAAAATCTTTTGCGGCCGCTTCGCTCCACTGGGTTAATAATTTGCAGAGTGGTTAGGCACAGTGACGAACAAGCATGAAGAAGCCGGTTGAGAGGCTTAGTTAGACTGGTACATGCCGTCGCCCGCGATGATGATCTTGGGATTGGCCAACACAATTGTCAGGAAGGTTCGCAAAACCCTACTCCAAAAAGACACTAAGACGATGAAAAATAATAGACAGAGTGAGCGAGGATTGCGAGACCACTGCCGCCTTCTGGAGTAGGGTAATCTATTCGGTCAGTCTTGTACAATGACATGACAGACAAAAATTGTAAGCCACAAAGCACGACGGCGTTGACAGATGGTCACCGTCGTTGTGTATAAATCTACCGAGTACCGGCTAGCCGAACAACGTCCCCGCTGGGGCCAGCTGGGTGATTCGGATTTACCCCGTTCCAGCCAATAGTTCGATGGAGTGTTACAGGAGGTGGTGGGTTTTCGCCAGGCAAACGTTCTCCCTATAAAAAGCCACAAATGTCTGTTTAACAACACCATGATTAAAGTCACTGCTGTACAATCGTTTTCAAATCCAGGAACGTTAAACAGTGCTTTAGCACTGACATCACGCTCAAACACAATCAAAAGTGCAGCAAAACATTTACAGATCCAAGCAACACAGCTATACACGCCTACATGTATACACATTAAGGTATCAACATATATAACAATCCTATTACACTATTGTACCTTCCTTGATCACTTGTTGTACTCTTACCATGATCATGTTTGTGCAGGCGGGTCTCGCTTAGTCGAGAATAAACAATTTGTTTATTTGACTACTGAAAACCTCTCTAAAAGGGCTTGACAACGCTGTATGTCGTGGATCAGAGACTGAAACGAAAGTAACGCCATGGGCTCAAGTGATGACAGTTGCTCTGTCGCCAAGTGGGGATACAAAGTACGGCGTTGTGGCAGGGTTAGCTTGATGGCTCCCGTATTCTGCTTGGGTCACAGACACCTAGGAAAGCGCTGGACGGTTATCTCACTCCATTAGAAGACATTGCGGTGTGCATTTAGTTGGTGGGTCTCGAACATCACCGGTAAATACTATTGGCTCAAATCTAGCGGGATTCGGAAGGAAAGCGCAACGAAAATGCTTCATAGTAGGACACAAGGAAAGTCCAGTGTTTCTCCAGATGTACAGTGAGTCGCTGACCGAATCTAATCGTGCTGAATCTCTTGGGAAATCGTCAGATGCAAATGTCACTCATGATCGTCATTTCACGCATTAGCTAGAGGAGAGAAACACTTCAGCTATTGGGCCATAATGGATTTTAAATAAAATGGCAGTAAAAGAATCAAAAACATCAAAAGCAAAACAGAAAAACTACTGTCGTGTGACTGCCATCAGTTCATAACCAGCTAAATTCAATTGTTCAACTACGACATGAGCGCCAAAATGTCATGCATTCAGTCGCATCGTAAGTATAACAATAAGAAGCAATGAATGCGATAAAATAAAAGTTACGATCAGAGCAAAAAACGGGCAAGGAAGAGGGGAATCGGGGGCGAGAGCGCCATCACATACACCACGCAGAGTGCTTTTTAACTACTGATGTGACCTATCAAAAGGGGTTAACTTTTGGAAATATGCACACGCCTTGGTCCGTACTTTGGCTGAAGTTAGTGCTTATTTACTATGCGATAAGTTGATTAGTGCGACAGGACAGTGGTGCGCAGCAACACCAAACAACATGCGGTGATAGATGGTTGGCAGACAAACGTGAACTAACCAGCGTAAGCGAAAAGACATAAGTTGCGATGTGTCAACATTTCGATTGTTCTCATCAGTCGCAAACACAATACAATCAAAATTCATAGCCAGTTATGTACAGAGGAAAATTGGCGCACTAATCAAAATGTCAAAATCAAGACCACGATAAGTTAATTGATTGTTTCATTAGTTTCTGTACACACAACACGGGTTGATAAGCCCTAATTAGCAAAGCCTCAGTAATTGCCAAAATTATCGGATTATTGTTGCGTAATAACACGCAGTCTCCGGGTTCACCTGATGTCCACTTGCCAAGAGATGCCTGGTGATAGATCACGCTGGGCTCCGGTTCATCTTCTGATCCACTCCGTTTTGTTGTGTCATCAGTTGTTCCAACCACCTCAGCACATGTTCAACTACCCCCTGAGCTAACTGACGGTCAGTCCTGCCTATGTAAATGTCACTACAATCACAGGTGAACTGGTAAACGACGTGAGAGGCCGAACTGACTGATGAGTTGCTCTGGCGGTCATGAATCACAAGGCTTCGCGTTGTATGTATGAGTCGCAACTGAGCGATCGCGTAGGTGCGCGTAAGGGCTGACCGAATTTTATATCCGATATCATTTGGTATTGATCTCCTTTGAACGGCAAAAACAAATAAACATTCTTTTTCGCTGCTGTTAACACCGTTATTTTCTCCTTGGGAAGTCTGCTGTGGATCTGAATGAACTTTTTAAGATACCCATTTGACACCAAAGTTTTAAACAAAAATGCTTCTTCAGCTTGAAACATTTCGGGGCTGCATATCCGTCTGGCTCTGTAGAAGAGCGTTTTCACTAGGCCGTGTTTGTAGGCGACCGGGGCAAAGCTGGAAAAGTGGAGGTATTGCCCGCGATGAACCGTGCGCTGTAGTGTACCATCGGTCCGTCTCTTAATGAGTATGTTCAAAAATGGCAGACTATCGTTTGCTCCAACTCATGGACACCGATAGATTTGGATGAATTGAATTCAGAACTGCCGACAGCCGCGCAAAATGTTCGTTGCTGGTGAAGACTAGGATGTCAACCACATACCGCCTGTACAACGTAGCCACATCAATGCTGGCAGTAACTTGTCTTTATATCAAGCCAAGAAAGATATCTGCTAATACTGCTCCCAGAGGGCTACCCATGGCAACGCCGTCGATCTGTTTATAAGCAGTCTCCTCAAACCCGAACCGTATATTTTCCGTACATAATAAGATGATATCCCTCAAATACTCCAGCGGCAGGCCCACAGACATATTTTGACTCACGATGAAATCACACAAATTGTCAACCGTCTCACGTAGAGGCAAGTTTGTGAGTAGGGAGTCTACGTCAATTGAGTACATGTGCTCCGCACCCAGCGTCACGTGTTCCAGTGTTTCGACTAAATCAAAGGAGTCCTTTAGGCCATACGTGGCCAGGAGTTTGCATATCGGTTCCAACATTTTCGCTAGCCACCGCGCAACGTTGTGATACGGTGAGTTGTTCACACACATAATCCGGCGCAGTGGGTTACCTGCCTTGCGTAATTTGGGAGCGCCCATCATTCTGGGTGTCTGAGTGCCAGTCGGTTTCAACCGCCTGTATTGCGAGTCATTGATGTAACCATGTAGTAAGAGAATCTGCAGTTTCCTTGCCACTTGCTTCTCGACCAAGATGTTGTTTTCTGGTGTCTTGTCTAACTGGAACTTCCGTCTGTCCCCCAAAATAGATTCCATCTTTGCAATGTAGTCAGGCCAGTTCATTATCACAATGCCTGATCCCTTATCCGGCTGCAGAAACATTTTGCGTCTCATTTGTTGTAACTCTTTGATCCCCACATAGTATTCAGCTTTCAGACAGCATCTCTGGCTTATCGACGTGTTCAAGTATTGGTTCGCAATATCTACCAATTTTGCCCGGAACCAACGCGCATCTTCCATTGATCTTCGCGTATGGTCACTGAGCTGTTCATTCAGATGACGCAACAAAACGGAGTGGATTCGAAGATGAACTGGAGCCCAGCATCATCTATCACCATGCGTCTCTTGGCAAATTGACATCAGGTGAACCCGGAGACTGCGTGCTATTACGTAACAATAATCCGATAATTTTGGCAATTACTGAGGCTTTGCTAATTAGGGCTTATCAACCTGTGTTGTGTGTATAGAAACTAATGAAACAATCGATTAAATTACCGTGGTCTTGATTTTGACGTTTTGATTGGTGCGCCAATTTTCCTCTCTATATAACTAGCTATGAATTTTGCTTGTATTATGTTTGCGACTGATGAGAACAATCGAAATGTTGACATATCGCTTCTTCTCACTGTCTTCTCACTGCTCCGACGAAACAATGTAAGCGAGTCAAACTCAATAGACGTCGTGGTATGATACCACAGCGTCTGTGGATATACAACAAAAGCACACACACACATCGATGTCACTTGATTGCTGCCGCCTGAAAGGCATGTGCAGGCATTAGTGGTCAGCGGTCACAAATCGTTCCATGCCAGATCCACAGCCGTGTTGTGCCCCTGTACCTAATGAGTTCGACCGATGGGCTAGCGTTCCGTTGTTCTCATAGAGTGAGTAAGGCCACAGAAGAAGTCACAAGACGCGTTACCGGCACTCGTTATTTGACTCAATCAATATAGCTTACACCTGCGCATCTCCGTCTGCGGATGCGAATAGCAACAAGTGCTGTTATCGCCTGGTTTCGACTTAACCAAATAGCAAGGTAGCCGGGTAATGCGAAGTAGAAAAGCCCCTGTGACACCTTGTGATCCTGTGAGGTGGGCCGACAAGGTGACTTTAAACGGCTCAGAGGATGAATGATAATGTAGTTCTGTTGCAGAGGACTATTGCGTTTTATTCAATCCCTAATTGCGACATTGATTACGCGATTCATCGCTTGATGTGACCAGCTCGCCAAAAGTGCGTTTACGGTCAGCGTAGTAGCGTTTATCTTCCAAAGTTTCAGAGTCAGCCTACAATGCATCGGACTATGGAGGCTAAGCAGGAGAATCTGTACCTCTGGGAGTCAATGCTGTCCTCTGTAAGTTGGAAACATGCAGGGCACTAGAGGATGAGTATCGCGATACATCACAGCGAGTTACTTGCTCACAGTGGCTACCGCTCCAATCCTGTGGCTAGACGGTCTCAACCAGCAACTGGAAGGTGAAAGGCCGAGGGTGCTTGCCCCTCACCTGACAGAATGCGGGATGTTGATGAGTTTCTAAAGAACGAAATGAACGTCCAGTGCTTTAGCCGATTTGCGATGGCTGTGAGCAAGAATCTCCATCAAACTATGGTAAACATTGGGAAGTGGCAAACATAGAGCGCGCCGTGAGATGAGGATCTGGAGAGGATACGGTCCGAGAGAGAAAAAAGTGCGCTCACTTGCGGCACGAATATTGAAGGCCAAAGTGCAGAAAGCAGTCATCCGTGGATGGCGATAAGATTGCAATAAACGGTGTGTCCCGTTGTACACGAATCGCAGCGCATATAAACAGTGAAATGGAAAATCACGAAGACGAGATGAAAGATGATGTTTGCAAAAGTTTTACTGATAAAGTAGGTACTTGAAAAGGACGAATCCCAGAGCTGTCACAGCCCAGCGCCGCACATCGTCATTTGTGTCGCTCACAGCGACATGTAAAAGACGTTGAACGGCTCGATTGTGCCCTGTACCACAGTAAGCCATTGCGATAGTTGCCATACCGGACCAGCGGAGGATGGGGTCATTATCCTGTAAGCAAAAGTAAACGAAAACGACCAGTAACAACTGGGCCTTAAAGCAATGAACCTAAGCGCGTGCAAAACGGAAATGGGAAAACGTACAACGATGAGGCGGTCAATTAGCTCATCCGCCTCTTCTAACCGACCGTACATAACCATGGCAATGCCCAAGGCAATGCCACGGATTATTTTCTCGTGTGCGGTTTCCTTTGCGTAACCCAACAAATCTTCGATGGCCTGTGGGGACCCAGTCCCAAGCATGACCAAACCGATCCCGATACCCGCCGCCTCTCCTGCAAAAATGAATGGGAAACGGTATGGAAGAAAAAGCCGTAAATAAGATAAAACAGGTATGGTAGGAAGGAGATCGGTGTAAAGGTAAGAAAAGCTATATCGCGCACGAAAGAGTCCGACTCGGGGGGGGGGGGGGGGTAAACGTAACTCAGATGTTGAGGAACATTTTTCTTTATAAACTAGAAACTGAATCATTTAGTACATTTATAGATCGCTTCGACCATTACTGTCGCTAGATGGACGACATCTTTTGTGTGACCAATAAAGATATGAGTCTAGAACAGCGGCTCACAACCCTTTTGAGGTTGTTACCCCCAAAACGGGTTCTCTATAAACAATAAGCCTCCAATTTTAGTTTAAAGCTAATTAGTTATTAACTATTGCATTTTTTGCTTTAAATTGCAAGAAACTAATACTATTATTAAATACATTCGAGCACTTAAATAAAGAAAACACCTGCTGTGAGCAACTTTTTGCTAAATTAAGAGGTGATGTACGTTAATGAGACGGGTGATATGGTTTAGTTCCAACAATTTCGGGTATCATTGGTGCAGATTCGGCTAATGCACACCATAATTCGTGCTCCAACTTCATTCGGTTCCTTGCTTTGGTGTGTGATTCCTGATCAAACATGAATAGATGCCAATGGGTCATCATTTGTTTCGAGCATCCTTCCAAGTCCGTTCTGGATGACAGCTACCCACCACCATTCTGTATCGATACATCCTAAACAGTTATGGTCCATTTTGCCCCTTTTACCTTGTAAACAATCGGTCGCTTCATTACCTGGTCGGTTGACCAATGCTTCCACATTAGAGTTCACTTAACTTTGTAATTCGACTCGGCGAACAGCTGTTTTACAGGCTTGCATACCTATTTTAGGTAAGAAAAGCTACAGCCGAAAATTGTCTAATTCACTGATCCCTCACTAATGATTAGTCACTGATGGTTAATCAATAGTGAATGGGTAGTTAGTTACATGCCTTGATGCCAATGGTTTTGGTAGTAATTTTGTTTGGCGACAGATTGATGATGGATCCTTGTACTTATATTGATCCCCTGGAAAAGCCTATTTTACCGCGTGGGGGTAATTACCTCTAGATTGAGAACTACTAGTCTAGAAGATATAGTGGCAGAGTTTAATAGTGCACACCCGGCAATTAAGTTCACCCACGAACTCGAACAAGAAAGTCAAGTTTCCTTTCTGGAGGTGCACCTGAGTAAGCAAACTGATGATTCCCTATTGAGGATAATCATCAGAAAGAAGATATGGACTGGGCGAATTTCAGTAGTCTCGTATCGCTTAAATACAAGCGCAATCTAATACACTGCCCCGCTAAAGGGCAAGAAAGACGCCCTGGAGGATAAAATCAATCCAGGACATGCTGCCCAAAAATGGTTACCCGGAAAGATTCATTTAGCGCAACATGCAGCTCAAAATAACACTAAACGTTGAGGAAGTAGTCGAAAAGAAAGCTCTCGTCATTGGCCTTGGTTTTAAAGGTGATATCGTTGCTGAGCTAGCAACGAGAAATCGACACAGTCGACAACGAAGAGTTTGCCGGTTGCCGAATTGCAATGTGTCTTCGCCACAAACCAGCTAATTCCTGTGCGGATCTGATCCAGTTATTGTACGCTTCCCTAGCAAACCATGAATTGGTCTAAAAGGAGCCTCGCTAGACCGGCGCGTCAGGCAGGTGCATGAGAAACAAAGCTGAACTAGCGCAACAAGTGCAAAAGTTAACAGTGATCCAGAAAGCAACAAGAGTACGTGCTTCCAAGTATCAACTAGAGAACAGTTCCACGTGGCAGTTGATGGGCCTCTGATTATGGACAACGCTTCGCAGGCACCGATGTCAAGGATGAGTGATCCCTTAATATTCAGTGGTTGATTGGTAGGGCGGATATCGACCCACTGTCCATGATATGATTTACGGTGTCCATACGAAGGGTGGTTGCATGCTGAAAAGGACGGAGACTCTACAACGTGACGTTACATTTAATTCACTCGGCTTGTCGATTCTAAGCACTCACAACTTCCGCGTTTCCATGACTCGGGCGATGAGGAACGATGCTTGGCTGTGCGCAGAATCAGTGGTGCTTTTCATTGCATGGAACCAAATCAATGACCACACAAAAATGTGTTGCTTTAATATTGGCTGGTGGTCAAGAGCAAGAACGAGCCCATGTAGACCAATTAGAGTTAACAATTTCCAAGGGGAGAGCATACCTGTGATAGCGTCGTCCTGATAGAGGTTCAATTTCATTTGATCATACACGTCCTCACGGCCAGTGCCCATGGCGGCTAAGCCGAGGCCTAAGCATGCGCCGTGGCGTACGGGCTCCGCAGCTGCCTCTTTCAATTGATTCAAGAGATATTCTGAAACAAAAAATTAAATTGTAACCGCTGCTTTCATGATCTATTGACAGCATGTTGCACGGGTGCGATTCAGAATTGAGGTGAAATCTGCATTACGGCTTCAGAAAGTATGAGATCTGACCGACTTTTAGGTTCCACTTCAAGCTGAATGCAAGGCTAAGTAGTGAGGGAAACTTCTTATGACTTATCACGTCCCATTAAATTGAAGCAACCGACCAGACCACAGGAGATCAATACAACTATGCTTTTTGATTCCGATAGGTCACAAAAGGGAAAATAAGGGGACAATCGGGAAATTTGAAGTGCGCAGGCGAGTAGTAGCTAGTCATGATCAGTGCAGTTCGTTAGATCAGCAAATAACACGGAATGTGATGCGTTGTTTTGGGCACGTGCTGCGTATAAATGCTTACAGATGACCTAATGCCCTATTTTGTCTGGTTGAAAAGAAGTGAGATGACGTATGGAAAGAGTAATGAATATCGTGGTAACTGAAATGAATTCAATGACGATTAAACTGGGTGCCGTTGGTCCATCTCGCATCTCGCTGGAGTTCACTGGCACATCTTGAATTCTCAGTTTGGGACTTCCTCACAACTTGTGTCAGTAGTGCGCTCACCTTGGTATCGCAACCAGACGGTAAGTTCAATGCAAGTAAGACGACTTATCTGTAGAGTACGATTGATTACAATGCGTAAAAGTGGGTAGAAGCTGCAGAAAATCTGAATCATCAATGTTTCCCCACCATACAATGGCTAGTGGTTTCTGGCAGTGCGCAGTTCCCATTATCCTGAATGTTTGCTGGAAGTAGCTAGGCTTTACACCAGGAACTCTTCCACCTTCCACGTGAGTAAGGTGCTCGTAGGTGCATAGCAGCGATGCACTAGCACAAAGTACTAGCGTATTGCTACTGGTAATGGTAGAATACCAAAACTCAATGTGAGGCATAAACCGCTGTGACACCGGTTTACAGTATGCGACCACGCAGAACAAAGAGAATGATAGGACTAGAAAAAAGAACGAAAGAATCGGAATTTATACCAGCCGATGGAATTTCAGCTCGATGAGTTTACAAACTAGGCGTGACAAGAAAGTACATGAAAACAGAAAAACCATCGGAGTGGTGGGCACGACCTCGGGTGACGTAGAAACAGTGATTCAGTGCGGATACAGTCTTTCTACTCTGTAGGTTTAATTTTGTCACTGCAGGTAGCACAATCAGGATGCAAACCGTCAAAGGCAGAACCGAGTAATGAGAAAAGTCGACCGCAAACGAAATGGATTACCCGTCATGGAGCTTCCGTGAGTTGCATGAATTAGACCGAGCGCAAAAAGCCCACCGCCTTCGGTGTATACAGAGCCAGAGGACCCACTAGCGTCTTTGGGAAGATAAGCAGACATGAGTCGAAGGGCATCTTTCTCGTGACCTGAAAAGGTGAGGGCCAGTAAAAAGAATTCAAGTGCGTAGAAGACGCAAGACATCGCACTGATAAAGGTAAACACAAAACAAGATCAGAATGCGTGTTATACCAACTGTGAGGTCACAGTAACAGGCAAATTAGGAACCGGATGCCGCCAACCATATATATATATATATATATATATATATATATATATATATATATATATATCTTAAGGAGGATTTTTTGAGCCGCCACCGGAGAATGAACAAGGCTAAAGAAGGGAAAATTGAAGACGGGCTTCGGTGCTGCTCGGTTTCAAATTAAACAGATATCGCTAAAGAAATTTTGTGTTGAAATTCAAGCATACGATGGGTATCAAAAGGCCCAATTTTGAAAAGGAAGTTGCGCTTTGTCTTTTCGGTGTTTGCCGCAAAAATAAAGCAAAATTATGATCATTCCGGTCGCTGACGGTGAGCAAATCGTTGCGAAGACGGGTGCTATGACAAACGTTCAACCAGATTATCATAAAAATATACGCAATGAGTGTAGTACAACTCATTAGCAAGGAAAGAGGCCTATGGATGCTACACAGTGTGTGGATGCTACACGAGTGTTGGATGAATCAGAACACTTCGCGACGTTTGGTGATGAATGTGTGGAACAGTGAAAGCATCTTCCGGTCAAAATTGAGTGGGTTTTAACCGGCCTTAGTCATAAACATTATCGTAAGCAATTTAGGACCAGATTCCCGACGGGATTTTGATTTAACTGTGCATATCCTCTACAAAGTTGGCTTCTTTTACGGTTATGACAGGCGCGTCGATACATATCGTGTAAATGCACGACTACCATGGGCGGCAGGGACAGACTAAACGTAGTCCAAAAATCGCCAAATTAGGAGCTGTATGATGGCCAGTTTAATAGAAGAGAAGAGAGGACAACGTGCCTTTGTGGATGACGCCCAAGGTGGCGGTTGCGGTGAACTTGGCCCAATTGACGGCTTTGCCCAGCCAACTGAGGTGATCGCGAAGGAACTGGTCCGAAGTGGTACCACAGTGCATGATACCGTTGGCCAAGACTGTCGCATTGTGTGTAACTGAGTGGCGTACTTCTTCACGTATTCGCTCGAGCAGACGCAGATCTGCCTTATTGTTACGTATGAGGAACTGCAAGTGCAGCTCGATAACCTGCAGGGAGAAACAACCAAACATGTAAACTTACAATAATAATAATAATCATAGTAATAATAATGTGTCAGCTGTAAGCTGTAAGGGAGCTTCGCCTCCACGCGATCACTACGAGTCCCGCGGGAGCTGTGTATACCGCAAGGACGCCCGCCCTTATGCGGGTTCGAACCAGTGAGCTTGTGATTGCAAGCCAAGCGTGCAGATCAGTCGGCCACCGGCCGGCATGCAAGTTTAGTATGTAACTGAAACGAAAAGCTTATGTAACAGTAAGTGGTAAGAATTCAAATAGTCGATAATAACAGATGGATATAAACAGAATGAGTACTCCACGCTAATAACGGCAAACAAGCGCTGAGGTCAAGGTATTGAGACGAAGCATATTGACTTAAAAGCAGCTCATGTGCAATTGTTAATGCGCCGTAGTTTGCGACTAGTGAGACGCAATTGCTGAATGCAATCTGTCAGGATCTGCTGCCGAAAGATAACGTGGAACGGATAGTGAGCGATCGCTGAGATGACGGGACGGATATCTTCTGAAGGCCATGTGACAAGCAAGAGTACCATTGCAAAAATGTGCAGGTGTTATAGCCTACTGACTGGGCTCGGGCCTAACAAACCTTCAGATTGCGTCTTCTAGAAGTAAAGCTGAATAACTAACAGATCAATGAGGAAGATCAAGCGACACAAAAACCGATAAATCATACAGATGCGTATCACTGCAGTGGAAAATGAATTATTCTGGTGACAAAGTGCGTTGAGACCGCTTAAAGTGGAATATGTTGAAAGAGTGATGCAAATGCTAAAAGAATGAAAATATGTAATTAGACAAAATAAAAAAGCGGGCGCATGATCAATAAATTGTGCAAAATATATGCGTGGCAGAGCGATACACTTGAAAACTGAATAATGAAAGTACAGAGCGAGAAGATATAAATCTGTGGTGCTCCATCGTAGTTAGATCGCGCATCTGCGCGAAATAATGTCGCCGATTATGCGCGGTGGCGGCATATTACAGCTGCACTACAGCTTATCCGGGTGGGATACACTCTCTATATCTGTAATCCGCGGGGTGGGTATCGAAGAATATCTTGAATTCCGACACCGATTTCGCCTCGACAGTTGCATCCGGCAACTTGCTACCATATTTCACTGCAAAGCTCGAAGCATCGAGGGAGACCGATACGTCTCGGATTCGTTACCGCTAGTTTGTACCCGTGTCCGAGTATGCTGCTTGGTGTACGAACGTGCAGCAGTGGCCACAACGTAGGGAAGTGACCCAGGTGCAATATCCAGTGCGTCATTATGAGATCTATTCGAAGCCGACGATATGATAGGGCATATAGCTCTAGTCTGCTACATAGGTCCTCGTACGACACCCCGGAAACTGTGGATGAGCCGGGTAGCTGCATGTTGAACCCGTTCCATTCTCTGCACCCCACCTATTGTGATCTGACAATAGGCGGCTGAGCCGTACCCAAAACATCGGTCTTATTACGAAAGAGAACAGGCGAGTGGCAATCTCTTCAAACCAGATGCAAAAGCTGCGTCTAAGCGCCCAAAGCAGATGTAATCCGTTTCTGTAGTCTGTTCGTGTTGTCAAGAAACTTAAGATCACAGCGTGTGAGAACGCCTAGATCCTTTACGGAACTGGTGGGATGCAGCGGGTGGCCAGCCAGGGTGTACGCACGCCCATTGCCATCCTTCCCCAGATTTATAAGTGAGGACTTGACCGGGTTGACCGGCAGATCAACTTCCGCAGACAACAGGGACAGGCGGTCGAGATCCTGCTGAAGAACGTCACAGTCGTCGGGAGAATCAATAACCCACAAAATCTTCAGGTCGTCTGCAAATAACGAACAGGACGGCCGAAAAAGCTGAGGTACTTCATTGATGTGGATCAAGAACAAAATGGGCCCAGTGCTGTGTCTTGGGATACGCAGCTAGTGGAAGGGTACCACTCCGTTAGGTGGTCACCCACCTGTACCCGCCCTTTTCTCCCAATGAAGAAGCCACTGATTCACTGGTGCGGTGCGCCACCAACACCACACATCATCAGCTTGTGGAGGAAGACTTGACGTTTCATTTTATCGAAAGCTTTACTGAAATCAACGTAGATGACATCTACTGGTTTCCCCTGGTTCAACGTTTGCACCCATCCGTGCTGCGCCAAGGGCAGGTTGGCGATGCAGTAGCGGCACTTCAGGAAATCGTCCTGTGCAGGCGTTAGGTCTTTCGACTCTAATGGTTAGAGGAGACCCTTTCTCACAATCTTCTCGAACACTTTCGCAAAAAACAGAGGCCAGACAAGTCGGCTGGTAATTGTCCACCTTAGTCGCGTCGCCGCCTTTCGGAATCTTCACTATCGAGGATTTCCAGTCCCTTGGGAGTGCACCTTCAGACAACGATCTGTTGAACAAATCAGTCACAACAGGCGAGATGATGGCCGATAAAAGGTTTAGAATTAGTGGATGGAGGCTATCGGATCTGGCCCGCTTCGTGCCGTCAAGACTGGTGAGTAGACTGCAGGCATCTCCTACATCGTAATCAAGGTACTCGAGTTCGGCATACGCGCATTCCCACTTGTAAATACGGAAGCAAAGTGCGCCGCCAATGCGGACGCAAGCTCAGTGCTGGAAGTCAGAGTCTGCCCATCCGAGCCCTCTAACACTCTTAGGTTACCTGCGGGCTCAGGCGTCGCTTCACGCATGCAAAAATTTTCTTGCGGCCAACTTCGCTGAGCTTGCGAGCTTTTTCGAACTGTCGACGCCTTCGTGCCTTTGCGCTGCTGCGTAGATTCCACTGCCTCTTTTATGTCTCATAATCGTCGATAGAGCCAGACACAAGGAATGTATTCCACCATACGCGTCGCTGTCGAGCTAAATGGCTATAATCTTTGTCGAACCAATGTGGCTTCACTGGTCCAGCTCTCCTATATTTGAGGAGTACGGAACAAGCGCACAACGATTGCACACCCACTTTTATAACAGACCAACAGGCTTCAGCAGATGAATCCTGGGGTAGCGTCCTGTCTACTTCACTAGCGACAACTGAGGTCATCGAAGTCTGTGTTCCAGTAATGGTAGGACGGTCCATCAGACGCGAGTAGGGCAGCAGCAGCTCTAGGCCGGCTAAGACCATCGAGTGGTCACTAGCTGCCAGAGGCTCCATAACCTGATTAATATGTACACGTTGCTCGCAACTAGTTAATAGTAGGTCCAAGACGATGGAGCGGAATGCGGTGTAACGCGCGGCGGTTGGCAGACATGTTGTGGTGCCCCAGTCGCAAATATTATCGCCGCAAACTGCGCCTCGATTTCAGAGTGCCCGGGGAAAAGTTGAAGCTCAGGCCAAAGTATTAGAGGAAGTTAAAATCGCCCATAAACGGTAAGTAGGACCAAGTCTCGTAGTTTTTGACATGCAGCAACCCATCCAGGCAATGACTTCGCGAGGTGCGATAAGCCGCACCCACAAACAGTCCACCTTGTCTCAGGCGGATCGAGTAACATAGCTGCTCGCACAAGCCATTTTCGTTTCAGTAGGTGCTTACCAGTCTCCCGCACGGAGAGGACCGAATGTATAAAAGCACGCCACTGCGTTCGTTTGATAGTCTGTCGCACCGGAAGCAAGAGTAGCCACTGATCTGGAATTCCTGGATAGCGATTTCAGGATTTAACCAGGTTTCGGCCAGTCCTAGTATGTCCGAACGATGAGAGGCAACGAAGTGATATATATCGTCATGGTTGTCCATTAAAGTACAAACATTTGTGAGGGCTACGCGCACGCCGCGGTAGGAAGGGCCGGGCGCGCGTGAAACGTCATCGACCCGTTGACCAGACCTGTCGGTGGACCCGGGGAACTACCCGAAAAGCTCCGATGAGATTACTTTTCCCGCTATCGGTACGTCGCTTCAACTCAATGACAGCGGATTCGTTTCTTTCGGTTCGACGGATTCATTTCTGGATCTTCAACCCTTTTAGCCTACCAAGTGGGATAGTATCAGCCTCGGATTTGCATCGTCTGAAAAGCTGGCTCGTAAAGGCTGAGCCTTCCTCTCCTCTTTTTCCAAGGCGAGTGATTTGCTTCACCTTCAACTTCTGTTCTCCCATGTAGAGGAGCCTATCAATCAGGCATTGTAGAAATTCGACGTCGTGATCATAACGAGGCTGAGAACTCGTATCAGTTGATTCAGGTGCGTGAAATATCATAAGGTTGCAACACAGTTGGTCACTAGCAGTTGCTCTCTTTTTCTTACTTCATAGCGTTCGCAATTCGCCTACTTTGTTTGCGTCACTGCACACCGGGTTGCTAGTGCACATGGTTGGCGGCATCCGGTTTCGGATTTGCCTGTCACTGTGGCAAGCCACAGGACGCCTGCGCCTACAGAGGGACCATGGATGGCTCGCGCTGCACCACCCACAGCTCCAACCACACACCCTATATCCAGTGTAAACCCGAAGGAATAAGACCGGGAGGCATGCGGATGGGAACCACGTTTCATCAACGGAGCCGGCCCACACTCCTTCACAGGCAAACACAAGCACACTGTATTTGGGAATCAAGCGCACACAAGGCGGTGGCTGGACCGTAGTCCGCTCCACACTGACTGCATGGAACCACTCTTTAATCCTAACACGGCCACAAGGACCGTGCACCCTGTCCCCTCCAGCAACGACCAACTGTCTCCTGGAGCCAGTATGGACGAGGTAGTGGGAAATAGACAGGTAGGCACCTTGTCAACATGCACATCAAGCGCAGCCACACCGGGGATATCAAACAACAGCAAACACTTGAGAGAGAGAGAGAGAGAAAAAATAGAAAAACTCGATTAATGCATAAGGAAACGGTGATATAAACCTTAATTAAATAGCATACGTAATAAGTTGTTTACAAACAAATCCTAGCTAAGTGCACGAGGTCAGGAAATATAGTTCACGGAATGCCACGAACACAAATATGCTACGGAAATCGAATACAATTGGCTTAGGCGATGTGTGCGAGTT